ATAAGCTTGACCTGTACCATCCTGGCTCAGACTTGGCTGGTGAAACCGCTGCTGCTTTAGCCGCTGCTTCTTTAGCTTTCAAGCCGTATAACTCCTCTTATTCTACTATCCTCTTGACTCATGCCAAAGAGGTTCGCTTTTTCCTCATTTTGGTTTGGTTATCTGTTTTGATTCTGGTTTGGTTTATATTGGTTTTGTTAATGATCATGGTTTTGGGTAGGTTGGGTATTTAGCTATTTGGTTCTGCTTGGTTTGCATATTTTGGTTTTCTAGTGTAGTTGATACGGTTAGAGAATTATTTTAGGTTTATTTGATTCGATCACCACTAAATTTGAATTTTGGCCAAATTCTGGTTCGGCTTTGATTATGAGTCCGGTTCCGGTTATATATATATTCATTACTCACCCTTAGTCTTATGTTATGGATCCATTTCTGCTTAGTTTCTGAACATTTTGAAAACCTACTGCTGTGTTTTCAGCTCTTCTCATTTGCTGACAAATACAGAGGATTATACACTGATTCAATCCCAAATGCAAAAGCTTTCTACATGTCATCTGGTTACTCGGTATAATCCCCTTTGATCTGATCTCTCAAAATATTTACTTCCAAGTTCTCTCTTTATATTGAATACTGTTTCAGTACAATTAGATAATGCATATACTGAGTTATATGTTTTGAAGGATGAGCTTCTTTGGGCTGCGGCTTGGCTACACCGTGCCACCGGGGACGAGTATTACTTGAAGTATGCTGTAAACAATGCTGGTTACCTGGGAGGAACCGGCTGGGGGATGAAAGAATTCTCTTGGGATAACAAATACGCCGGTGTTCAAGTCCTTCTCTCCAAGGTAAACCAACTGGTTTCTTCAAGAATGTTTATTTCCCTTGAAGTTTCAAGAAGATTAATCTTGATTCTTTTTCTTTGAACAAAGACTAATCTTAATTTATGTTTTGATTTGTGTATGTTTGCATAGATCTTGTTAGAAGGTAAAGGTGGTGTGTATACTTCAACATTGAAGCAGTATCAGATGAAAGCTGATTACTTTGCTTGTGCTTGTCTGAAGAAGAATGGCGGTTACAATATTCAAACAACTCCTGGTAAGTTAATTAGTGCAACTTAAAAGTATTAAACTTCAGGTCTAAGTAATGAAAGTTAAATCGTGTAATCGAAATATTAATTCCCATTTTTGGGTCGATTTTATGAATATCAATTATAATTTTTTTTTAAAAAAAAAGGGAAGTAATGAGAGTTTTTTTTGGACAAAAGTAATAAAAGTTTTTAATGGTGTTAATTAAGGTGGTTTGATGTATGTTCGAGAGTGGAACAATCTGCAATATGCATCAGCGGCTGCATTTCTTCTTGCGATTTATTCGGATTATCTATCAGCAGCAAACGCTAAACTCAACTGTCCTGATGGTTCAGTTCCACCTCAAGCACTTCTAGATTTTTCAAGATCTCAGGTAACCAAATCTTTCAAGAACACAAAACCCATAGCCTTGATTGATTTCTAAATGTACTAAATGAGTTTTTTCTCTCTTGAAGGCTGATTATATTCTTGGAAAAAACCATCAAGGAATGAGTTACTTAGTTGGATATGGACCTAAATATCCAATCCGAGTTCACCATAGAGGCGCTTCAATCCCTTCAATCTTTGTTCAACGGTCTTCTGTGAACTGTGTACAAGGATTTGATTCTTGGTATAAAAGAGCTCAAGCTGATCCCAATGTTATCTATGGTGCTCTTGTTGGTGGACCAGACCAGAATGATTACTATTCCGATGACCGGACAAACTACGAGCAATCAGAACCAACTTTGTCTGGAACAGCTCCACTCGTTGGTCTATTCGCTAAGCTCTCTGGAAAATTAGGTAACTAGAAGATATAAACCTTGTACTTAAATAATTCTTTGTTCAATGAATGGATCGTCAAGTAATGTAATGGAACTTTGTAGGTTCTTATGGAGGAGGGTATTCTAAACCTTACCAAACCCCAAAACCACCAGGTTGATCTCTTTTACTTACAGCTTCTTTTGTAACTTTTCTGCACTGTCTGATTCCTCATTTTCTCTGACACTCTTCAAAGCTTCGTCTTACAAAGCACCAACACCAACAACATACACTCCAAAGCAATCAGGTGCACCAATCGAGTTTCTTCATTCAATAACTGCAAATTGGATGGCCTATAACACCAGGTACTACAGACACAAAGTGATCATCAAGAACAATTCTCAGAAACCGATATCAGGCCTCAAGCTTAAGATTGAAGATCTCACAGGATCTATATGGGGACTTGCCCCAACAGGGCAAAAGAATACTTACCAGCTTCCTCAGTGGCAAAAAACTTTGAAAGCAGGGCAAGCTTGTGATTTTGTCTATGTGCAAGGTGGTCCTCAAGCTAAGGTCTCCGTCCAAAGTTACCACTAATCCTTTTTGTCAAGAATCCGTTATACTTCTTTTGTTGTTGATGCATTTGTGAGAGATTTGAAAATAGCCAACCTAATTGAGACTTAATCTGAAAAATGTAAATTTGTGTCCCTTGAGAGAGAATTATTTTTGTCTACCTAGTAGAGAGAGAAAATGATATAACAACAAAAAGAACTCAAGATTGAGCTTTTGATTTAACATTCAGACAAAAATTCAAGGTTCTGACAAAAACATATAATTAGAAGAGAAACAAAACTGAAACAATAGAAACGATGTGAAGTATCACAAGTCAAGGACATAAAGAAGAGCATTTTCTTCTGCATATAAGCTTCTACTCGTCGTTAAATGTGGTCTTCTTACCTGCCATAATAAACCCAATAAATAGTGAGAAATTAGTTACTTAAGAATCAAGATTCAAGAAACAGGAGATCAATATCAACTTTAAGTACCTGAGGTAGTGAAACTAGATCTGCTGAATCCACGACCACCACCTTCTCTTCCTCTGCCGCCGCCCCTTCCACTACCAAAACGACCACGGCCACTGTCTCTTCCTCTACCACCACCGCTCCTTCTACCACCACTACTAAACCGACCACCATCTCTTCCTCTACCACCGCTCCTTCCGCCACCACCGAATCCACCACTACTCTTCTCCCTCGGTTGATCAACAACAAGACTCCATCCTCCCATCTCACTACCATTAAGGTCAAACGCCTTGTCTGCGCCTTCTTTAAAATCAAGGTAAGCAATTCTGTAAAAAAAAAAAAGAAAAGCAATGTGTTTTTAGTTAGCATCTGAGAGAACATTCATAAACTGATCGTAATCTGGAGTTAGTCACAAACCCTTTGGAAGCTCCGGTGTCACGGTCACAGGGAACAGAAACCCTTGTGATCTCTCCACATGAAGCAAAGTGCGCACTCAATGCGCTCTTGATGTCTTCTTCAGGAAGAGAAGAGTCAAATCCCTTAACGAAAATTGACTGACCTCCACCACCACCGCTTCTGAAGTTACCACCGGCACTACAATAATTTGCCAAAGAGAACTATCAACAGACAGAACATAATACACAAGCAATTATCCAGGACATGAAATATAAAAAAATCAATATACCAGCTCTGTGGAGTGTATGCAGGTCTCTCTCCCCTCTCTTGAGCAACATCAAGACGAATATCACGACCAAGCATGGATGTGCCGTGAAGTTCAAGTGCCTAAGTACAAACCGATTTAATCAGTAATCAACCTTTCAAAATCTTCCATCATAAAGCCAAAACAACCCTCACCTTCTGTGCTTGTTCAGCAGTTGCAAACTCAACATGGCCAAAGCCTCTGAAACTGCCATCGTCTTTTGACATGGCAAATCTAACATCAACAACTTCGCCAACACCTTTGAAGAAATTCTCACTGTTATGTGGAGGATGATATTAAGTACGGTCAGGAACAATGAATGAACAACAAGACAAAAGAAAGAGATAGTAAAACCTTGCTACTTACACATCTGATCTTTCAACGTCGAAGGAGAGATTGGCAACAAAGAGTGTCTTTGATCCTCCTGCAGGAGGAGTTGATGGGGTCTTAGGCTGAAAGTCAAAAGCATAATACAAAAATTAACTTCATAGCATGATACATAAAGAGATTAAAGTAACTACAATGTTACGAGAAGGGATTCTTACCTGTTTCTGCTCATCATCCACCATTGCAGCATCGGAGTTCTGTTTTTATAAAGAAGAATGGAGTAACTCTCAATCAGCAAACAGCAATATACTCTATGTTCAAACTAATAGAAAAGTAAACATTGATCTCACTTTTTCCTTCGGGGTTTCTTTCTCATCTTCACTCTCTGATTCATCAGATTCAGAATCATCACTACTGCTATCCTTTTTAGCTGCAGGTTTTTCATCTACACTTTCCTGCAAAATACCAATCACATGGTCAATGAATCATATATACGACATCAAAAGCTGCTTGATGATCTCGTTAAAGTACAGAAGCTAACCTCATCAGAATCTTCCTCGGATGAATCTGATTTGCTAGCAGCCTTGGTAGTAGCAGAAGCTGTCTTCTTAGCAGCAGGTTTCTATATTAATAATTAAGTAATTAGTCATCATTTTGGAATATATATATATATGCAGAATAAGCAAATAGAAAATGAAGATATGAGAATAAATTTGTCACCTTCTCATCCTCAGATTCAACTTTTGATTCATCAGAAGAGTCTTCCTCTGACGAGCTGTCTGCCTTGGCCTTTACTGAGCCATTTTTAGCAACTGCAGTAGCAGCAACTTCTTCCTGAAAATAGATGGTGTGTCAACAAATCTCCAATGATAGCAGACTAAACTTGCATAGTGGAAAACAAGAACAGGGTAATACAAATACATTACTATGAGATGTTGTGTAGTATACACTTACTTCTTCCTCGATATCAGAAGAGTCAGAGTTCTCAACTTTTTTAGGCACCTTCTTCTCAGCTTTCTCCTTCTGAACAGCAGCAATCACATCATTCTTCTGTTTCTTTAGGTTCACTTTGGTATCCAAATCATCCTCAGGATCTCTCTTACCTGAAGAATAAGAGTATACAAAGTTAAAACCAACAAAAAAGAATATTATATCGAGATTCAGCAGTCAATATACTTCAAATAGACAGTTAAGCAAGCGCATTGTTAAATATTATTACGATATACAATACAAACTATATCAGCAAAGCATACAAAGTTAAAAACCAAGCAACTCCTTCAACATAAAACGAACTATATCAACAAAGGAGCTCAGATATCAAGATTATCAGTACATATAAGCAAGTGTATTATTATATCCTATGATAGACACATTCCAAAACTAATAAGGAGTTGGGTCAACTCAATTGAATAATTTTATCCCTCAAATGTAGAAGTACGAGCAATATACAAATGAAAAGCTCAAGGTTCAAACCTTTCTTCAAAGGCTTGGTGGCCTTAATGGCAGCAGGTGCTGCTTCAACCTGAACATACGAAACACAAGCAAAGTTTCATCACAACCTAATACGAGAGAAGGAGAAGGAAGCAAAGCTACGAGAGGAAGCTTACCTTGGTGGCGGATTTTTTACCCATGGCGAATTTGAGAACAGAGAAGAAGCGACTGCTAGGTTTAAGAGTGAAGAGATATTTCAGTTTAGGGTTTTACGAGATGTATTTATAATCTTTTTGATTTTTGGTTTGGGGATAAAGTTGTCTTTACGTTTTTTCCATCTAACGGCTGTCTCCTCGCGCGTGTGTCTTTTTGATCGTTCCGGTCCACTTGACGTGAAATCGTATATCATTTTTAATTAGTGGCAACGGTTGGAAAATAAGTAGGTCAAAGCGGAGTACCACATCCCTCTCTAATATGGGCTGAGTTTAGTGGGCTTTGGTAGGATGTGATTTAAGGAATCTTGTGTCTTATTATTCTCCCCGGCCTTGTGACAACAATAGTTTCTAACAAATGTATATTGATATTAGAAACGTTTTCTATTTAATAAAAATCATTAGAAACGTTTTACAACCAAATGCTGAAGTCACTAGAAAATAAACCATTATACTAACATATGGAAACTGAAATCTAAACGAAAAATTGAAATATAATCAAGATTTTCTGAAATCTTACTAGCTAACAAATGAATTTTTTTTCTTTTGTAATTGTATATCAAATTTATGGATCAAAAAGTAGGAAATCTTTAGAAACTACTTATATATTGTTTTATTTGAAAGAATAAAAGACTCTAATGTGGAAGAACTTCAAACCATGTTCAAGGTCTGTGATTTCTTATATACTTAAGCGAAGAGATACGATTCTCGATAACCTTCCCAATAGTCATACTTGTTACTTCTACCGCTACATACACACCTCCATGTCTCTTTGAATTTCTCTTCTTCCACATAATGTAAATAGATGTCTAAAATGCTAGCTTCATGACTATATTATCAAGTCTGTTTCGTGTTGAGTGTAGCATAGAAACCAAAGTGTCTGCCTAGTCTGGTATGATTGTTGCGCCAAGGGGTAGTACACATCTACACCGTGAAGGTTTAGGGGCTAGTGGAAAATAGATGGTCACAAATCTCTTCTCTTTTTCCATAGAAAACACAGTCTTGATATGTACCCCAACCTCTCATTCTCATGTCTGTAGATAATATGTCTTTTATGGCTAGCCAACTATAAAAGATTTTCGTGGGATCGCTTGTGAGAACCAAACAAGATGATGCCATGGGACTTTATTTTTATTCTCTCTAAGGTAGTCTAATGTATTTGCAGCTGAGAAAGTTGACTTTGACTCATCCTGATTGTGTCGCCACAGAGCTTTATCAGTGCCTGCGCTGGCATCAGGAATTGTGGCTACAGCAATTTTGGCACACAAGTGTGGGTATTTCCTTCTACCACATCGTCTGATATTCCAGCCATTACTATTGCTTGCATTTGCTAGCGTAGCTGTCCTACTCACTCCCAAGTAGCTACAACTTAGCTCCCATGTAACATCCAAGAATTTTCCCATTTCATGCCAATTATCGACCAAAAGCAAACAACTTTCCTATCATTTACTCAAACTGCAGGCATTCATAACAAATGAAAGTATTAATATATGTATTGTTATAAATTTGGAGGTTTTAAGAAGTGAGAATAGTGAATAATGTGGGCAAGCATCTCCTTCACTTTCATGTGTGGAATCTAGGGAATGCATATAGTGAATAATGAATTTTGTAAAAAGTTGTTCTATATATGATTGATGTTAACATGAATAACTTATTTATTTTTATATTTTTGTTATTAATGATGATGAATTTTGTTAAAATGAATAATGACATATTTATCCTCCTCCTATATATATATATATATATATATATATATATGTATATATGTATATATGAATATAAGCCATCATTGGTATTGATTCATTCATATACAAAACAGTCACTACAACAAAACATAGTGGATTCCCATGTTCGAAACTATGCTAGGCACTAGTTGGACGGTGATACCGGGCATAGCGAGTTACAAAAAAAAATCGAGGATTAAGCAGGGTATACGTGGGGATTAATTTAAATATTATTTTATTTTATTTCAATATTTAAATAAATATAAAATATAAAAATATGATAATGTAATAGTTTTTTTGTGTATTTTATCATTGAAATTTATATTTATTGGTTGAAAAAAATTAATTAGATTAATTTTTGAATATTTATTATATGAATATGCGGCTATATATTAGCTTATGTGTAAGACCCAAACCTGGCCATCCAGGCCGCGGTCGAAGCCTCACGTCGCTCGTTCCTCTTCCGGACCGAACCTCTAAATTTTTTTGCCCTTTATTTATAATATCGTCCATAGGCGAGGGCCAAATTAGATCTTAGCTTAAGACTATCTTAGTATTTCCTAGCTTAGATCATTTATATTCTACGCAACGGATTATACTATATTAACCATTGGTCTAAAACCAATCTAACACTTGTCCAATCTAATAATCTATGCCTTGGTCAGTTCACTGAACTACCTTCCAGCTTATAGATCGATCCTTACATGGTACAAGTCATACAATTCCAAGGTTCCATTCCCCTAAACCATTCTAGCTAGATCTAAAAGAAATTAGCTAGATCATACCTTTGCCACATCCACGGAGCTTGTTAGCTCATCGGTCCAGCTGACTTAGTTAGCTCATCCTCTAGCTGGCTTAGCTAGCTCATACTTTTAGCTGATTTAGCTAGCTCATCCAGCTCTTTGAGCTGACACTTCTAAACTAGCTGAATCTGAGCTAGGGCCAGCTGTCTCAGCTCGTTTAGCTAGCTCATCCAGCTAGCTAAACTNGCCACATCCACGGAGCTTGTTAGCTCATCGGTCCAGCTGACTTAGTTAGCTCATCCTCTAGCTGGCTTAGCTAGCTCATACTTTTAGCTGATTTAGCTAGCTCATCCAGCTCTTTGAGCTGACACTTCTAAACTAGCTGAATCTGAGCTAGGGCCAGCTGTCTCAGCTCGTTTAGCTAGCTCATCCAGCTAGCTAAACTATACCACCTCACTTGAGGTTCCACCACTCTCTTCCAGCTGATCGAGCTACAGGATAGCTGCGCCCAGCTCCCTGCCAACTCGTCCAACTCTATTATACCTGCATAAACATCTCCCCTTGGGTACTTAGTCATTCAACCAACCATCCCCACTGACCAAGTAACCTTTGGGAAGTCTTCAACAGCAATGGTAATGCATCTAGCTCCTCTCTGCTAATGCATCACCCATCTCCTCACGATTGTAGCATAAGATAGCAAGTCCCTCTCCTGGACGAACCTATGCATCCTTTGATCAAACAGAGCAGACACCTTGATCCATCATCCATGGATCAGGTCGTCCCCCTTTACTCATGATCAGATCACACACAATCTTCCCTGCATAATAACAACTAGATCCATATTTGTGGTCCACGCCACCCAGTACCAGCCTTACCCTCAGGTACCAGTATGACAACAAGCAAACATCCTCTAAGACCACACAAGCACAATAATTACATATTAATCCGATAACCTAGCACATGTTCTAACAATTTCATGATTCCGAGCCTAAGGCTATGTTCCTGCCCAATTTTGGTCAAACTCAAAAGTGCTCCAAAAATTAATGTTATGCTTTGTAAATTACCCAAAAAATATAACTAAACGAATCCAAGGTCAGAATTCACAGGAAAAATCACTAACCCTATGATCCGACCCAAAACAGCCCTAGGCATAAATATGGTTTTTGAGCAAATCAACTCCAAATCGTGCCTAGTCTTTTCCAATAATTCTTAAATATTCTAAAACATCTATCTTAAAAGTTTCAAGCCATTTGATTCAGTAAAAAGTGGTTTTGGATCAGTAAACCCAAATATGGCCTAAAACAACCCCTTTGAACCGACACTTATGTACGGTTCATGGGAAGGTCTTTCTGATCACCAAACTTGAAACTAATTATCAGGAGAGAAATATATTTAGATATATAAAGAGAAATGGGTGTATCCAGAGTTCCCAGAAACCATAAAGCACATGGATTCACCCATAGGTTCATGCCTTTGGCTTAAATGGTTCAACAACACTAACCTTAGCTCTTGTGCCTTCCAGTATCAAGTCTGGTCGTGATCCTCCAAGGCACGCCTCCATCAAGTCTTATCACATACCTCCTGTAGTGATAAGATATCTTCCTGGGTCGCACCAATGGTTCCTTTCATTGATCTCCCATAAAACCGGTTCTGCAGTGCCTTTACCTTTAAGGCTGTTCTTGTAAATGAGAAAGGATTCTGGCCTTCTCTCTTCTCCCCGTACTCTTTGCGTGTGTTCATAAGATGAATAGCAAGCCTAGGATGTGTTCATTCAGGATAACATACCACCACAGGGTCGTTCATAACTTCCTTTTCACTCCAATGAAACTGCCTTTCTACACACATCTGCCCTTAAGACTGTCTTTGCCTTTAGGAATGAATTCCGGTCATCTCCCTTATGTGCTCACCATTTGCGTGTGTTCTCAGGCCCTGGAGGATGCTTTGGGTGATAACAACACAGATCAAAAGCCACCAGAAAGTAGTTCTCCACTTCTCTCTTGATCTGCCCCAAAACTGCCTATTTATGGCCTTCACACCACCATGAATCTTGGATAAGGAATCCGACCATCTCTCTGTTTTCTCTGGGTGTTTCTTTGTGTTTCAGGGTGTAGGAGGAAGCCCTGGCGTGCCTGCAAACCCACGGAACCATCCTCCTTTTATAGAAGAAGGGGTGGTTACTTTTCTAACCATTGCATCCTTTCGGTTTCATTTCTGTCCATTGATTTAATCAATGGTCCAGATCACACCCATTCGCCTAAGACAGTTACCAGATGT